GGGTATTTTTTTTACTTAAGAAAATTAATATGCTTAAGCATTGTGAAGAGACAGTATTAACTCCAGTTTTTATTGTCTTGTAGTTATTACATAGAGCATCTGTTGAGGGGCTCTTTTAAAACCACAGCCCCACACAGGCTTTGGGGCTGAGAGGCTGAGCAGCATGCCGCACTGGACCACCTACCTCTAACCGCTAGCGGAGGCCCCTGGCGGCCACAGCGCCCTCTGGAGTCTGTCTGTGCATGTAGAATGCAGAGGAGGCCTGGGGACCTACCTCCAAGGCAGCTGCCCTCCTGAACATTTCTGTGGAAAGCAGCCACCACCATTTTGGAATGTGAACCGCCAGAGACTACTCTACAGGAGAAAGAAAAACTATTCTGGAAGTCTTAGGTGGCTTCGCCATGCAGCCTTTGAGTAAAAGGAACACTATGCAACCTAAGTTTTTTTCTCTTTTGAACACTCTCCTCTTGAGGGACCACAACATCCATCGTAAGGAGAAAATAAGGCCTCCGGATATCTTGAGATGCGCAGATATGTTATTGGTGGGAAGATGGTCCCTTGGAAGAGGCTTTTCTGAGAGAAGCCCAACTGCCGAAGGGTATCTTTATGTTTTCATTAGGTGCCAGCCCTGTGCTAAGAATTTGAGGTACTTTACCTTTCAGAAACCCTATAAAGTACACACCACTAGCTTCCTTTCCCAGTCCGGGAGAGTCTCATGTAGTCCTTAAGCTCACACAGCTGAAGTGATAAATGATCAGGGCTAGTCTTGCAAACCTAAGAAGCATTTCCTTGTTCTCTGCTCTGAACATTTGTTTTGATGATGGAAGAAGAGAAGATTGGGTGGGTATGAAACGGCAAATATATGTGAAAGAAAAGCCCTTTCGCAAGTACTTGGGGTCACGTTTGGGTAGACTTTCTGGTGAATCCCAGTCTGTAAACATCACAAATGTTAGTTTAATGGAATAGAATGTGCACTGCATTGGCTCCTGTTGAGATTTTAGGAGAAGAATTGGCTTGAAGCTTAGGTTTCCTTTCCAAATGAGGCGACTCACTTTCTTTCCCAAGCCAGGGTCCTGTCATTCAAGACAAAAAAAATTACCTTCTCCTTCCCTTCTTAGTGGAAGGAGAGCTTTGTAATCTTCCAATGAAGTACAGCTTAAGTACCTTTGCCAAGTTCACTTCTCTTAATACCACTATTGTTCACACCGATTGCTATCATTTAGCTCTTTCCTGCTGAACAATGGACTAGTTTCCTCCTCAGTTGTTCAGAGCTGATTAATATCAGCCTTGGTAAACCGAACATGTGGGGCTCCACCTAATTCATATTGTCTGGGAGGACTTCCCTCCTGCATCCCAGCTTGAATGGAGGAGTCTTTCCCTAGGTAGCAGGTTGCCATCATTACATTGTGAGCTCAGATAACTCCTTATACCTCCTGAGAGGTCCTGATGGTCAGCAGCTCTGGGAAGGTGATATCTTATAAAGAGGAAGTAACAGTAAAGCTGACTACTACCTGGATGTTTTCTTCCATCCTACCTCTGGACCTGATCGCCCGTCTTCACTCAGG